TCAATGATATCAGATACATGAGTCGGAAGATCCGACTGGGATAAACTAGGCTTAAACGAAACTGGGCCACCAAGAGCCTAGTCATCAACCGTAATACGAACACTCCTACCATCTCCGACTTTCCACCTAAAACCAGGAGCAACCACTGTCAATGCCTCCTGTAAACCCCGACACCCCCAAGAGGGCCGAGAAACCCGAGCTCCCGTCGCAGTAGCAAGAAATTAAAAGGGATACTTAGAAAACATGAGACGTGAGACCAACAACTGAGGATTACGCATTAATCGCCAACCAATCCCAGCAAGGAGAGCAGAGTTAAAACAAGCAACCTTTCGTAAACCTAGGCCACCCAAGCCTTTTGGCAAATGCAGCAGAGAGGCTGAACGCAAGGCCAGGCCCTTAGTAGATCCAGAAGATCTTCACCAAAAGATGGCTAACATACTGTCGATTTGGGAAGCTACAGAAGACGGAATCTTGAAGACAGACAGAATGTGATTAAAAGACGCCACCAACACTGAATTGATAATAACCAATTTTGCAGCAGCCGACAATCGCAAAGAAGCGAAAGGGGATAGTCGACTAGCAATCTTATCAATCAAGAATTTGAACTCCGAAACCTTACTTCGTCCCATATCCACAGGGAGGCCTAGATATGTCCCAAGTGAATCCTTTGATTGAAGCCGAAGACTACGGGATAGGTAATCTCGATAATCAGGGGGAGTATTCGGACTAAACTTGACAAAGGATTTCTGAAGATTAATCATCTGGCCGGAGGCTGAAAAAAAAATCAGAGAGAATAGCCATTACATTATCACAAGTCTGCGGCGAGACCTGAAAAAACAACAACGAGTCATCATCAAAGAATAGGTGGGAAATCGAGGGGCCACCCCTTGAAACACGGATATCGAAAAACAGATATTGTTGCTCTGCTCGACGAAGAGAAGCTGATAACACTTCCATACACAAAACGAATAGATACGGTGACAGGGGATCTCCTTGGTGAAGACCACACTGCGGATGAAAAGAAGGCGTGAGACTCCCATTAACCAAAATCTGATAAGAGACAGTTGTAACACATTGTTCAATAATATGCACCCAATACGGGGGAAACCCAAAGGCCCGTAAAACCTGACTTAAAAAATCACAGCGCACTCTATCATATGCCTTATTCATGTCTAGTTTCAAAGCCGCATAAAAGCGCTTCCGAGCCTTAAAGTATTCATAAAGGTAAGCAATTCATGAGCTACTAATGCGTTATCAGAAATCAGACGACCAGGCACAAAAGCAGTCTGAAAGCCGGAAATAAGAGAAGGGAGGATCACCCGCATCCGATTTGTGATACATTTGGCAATGCATTTATACAGGACATTGCATAACCCAATCGGTCGAAACTGAGACACAAGCTCCGGCTGAGAAACCTTTGGGAGCAGAACCAAGAAAGTTCTGTTCCAATCCTTCAGCATGTACCCATGGGCAAAAAAGTACTTAACCGCTGAAATCACATACTGTCCTGTATCCCCCCCAGTGAGTCTTGAAAAAAGCCGATGTATAACCATCCGACCCAGGGGACTTGTCATTCGCAATGTGAAACATTGTTGATTTAATTTCCGAAGCCGAAAAAGGAGCCATCAACATATCCTTTTGAGACAATGACAACGTCGGAAGATCTAAATTATCCCACGGTAGAACAGATTCGTTCCCAGCAGGAGACCCAGGAGTGTACAAATCTGCATAAAAAGCCTGAATAAGAGTACGAAGACTATCAGAGTCAGACACCCACTGTCTAGCGTCATCTTTCAAGCTAACAATAAAATTTCGACGACGTCTAGCCTGGACTACCGAGAACAAAAGTCGGGAGTGAGATTCCCCAAGCGCATCCCATTTAACCTTAGCACGTTGTTTCCAGTATTGAAAGGCAGATGTGGCCTCCGCCACCCGTTCTTCCCTTGTATTAAGAAAAAGGACACGCGCCACCGGGGATTGTAACTGAGCAGAACAAGACGATAAGTCAGAACACCAAGCCTTCAAGTTGATGCCCCAAGATTTCCTATGTGCAAGACACCAATCTTTAAGCCGACCGCGGATAACATCAAGCCTACGGGACAAGGTAAACAATGGCGAGCCCGCATACTGCAGAAGACAACCATCCTTAACAATCCCTAAAACTTCCTGAGCAGATAAACACCAATTCTCGATCCTGTAAGGTCTCTGAATTGCACCTCGACATATTGAGTCCGAAAAAAATAATAGAAGCATGGTCGGTGAATTAAATTGGCTGATGTTGCACACATGAATCAGGAAAATCAACGAACCAATCATGAGATGCATATGCCCTGTCCAAACGCTCAAAGGTCGGGTCCACCTCTATTCTATTGTTAGTCCATGTATAAGGTGGACCAGAAAAAGGAATATCTACTAAACCCAAACCCAAGCGCCACTGTATAAAATCCAGTCTACCCGGAATAAACGACGACCCTCCCAGTTTGTATTAAGCGTATTCACCATTCATATATGATTGGCGGAGTACATAATTTGATCCTAGAGAGAATTTAAGAAAAAGTTCTATTTTAATTTGTTCTTGTGGAAAATTTCTTCTCATTATCTTTAGAACTTCGCCAAATGGGAAATTTACCGTGTCTACAAGGACAAAACAATTTGATCAGTAGAATATCGAATAGAACATCTTGTAACAATATGCTACTCTCAGGTCTTAATTGAGAATAATCAAGTGTTTTTATCGAGAGGAAGGTCTTCAAAAATGAATATTTAATTAAATTTATATTAGAAACGCATTATTCGTATATATGTAGACTGTGGCCCTACTCTTTTAAAATTCTGAGCAGAGCATAATAGTTTATTTATATTCAACAGAGCACATCATAGTAGAACAGGGGCTTAGTAGAGCAAAGCACAACAACATACTCAAAAGAATAGGACCTATATATATTATCTTAAGTTTGATAATGTAATATACTACGTATAATCTAAGCACTAAATTAATGGGATTAATAGTATTTTTATCTTATCTTAAGTTTGATTATTACTTTTCTATGACTTTTCTTTACTACAAGGTGAGATGAAGGTATGAACGTTAGGAAAATGCATGAGACATATGGCTTTCCACGTAGAATTTGCAAGTGCTTAGATTATTTACCCATTTATGTGATGATTACTTCTTCGGACTATACTGTCTATACACACCTAAGTTATAAATAATTAAATTAACTAACCAGTTTAAAATTAATAATTAAAATCTTCACAAATCACAAATTACCACGTTAAGCCAGTACAAGATCTTTTAAATTGGGTAGACCCAAGACAATGGGGTGTAGGAAAACAAGATGATATATACTAATATCATTGTATGATGTACCCTAAGATAGCTATAAACTTTATAATATATGATTATATTATATGATTATGTGTATACATTTACAAGTACAAAGTAAAATAAAAAATGCAAGATTAGAGGAAGTTACCTCCTTGTCTGCTCGCAGACCAAAACGTTGAACACCGTCAACTAGCTTTTTTGCATGTCGCCGAACGCACTTGCAACTTTCTCCGTTGTTAAAATAAAATTTTAAGTAAAAGAGACACAAAAAACCAAGATGCTAAAAAATGATTAAACAAGTCAGATTAGATCAAATCCCCAAAGCACTTCCCTAAATTCAAAGCAGACTCTTTAGTCATTATTCTGTCCTACTATATACCTCTCTCTATTAATAATTATCAATTACTATCAACTAAGACCCGTTGTGGACTTGTAGACATACGTTGTCATGTGTACATACTTCGTACAATCTTAGAGCTGATTATAGATCAAATCAAACATGTCAAATCAAGAATTTTATAAAAATTGATTATTTAGAATCAGGTTATTTAGATTGTACGTGTTTTAGTTCTGTAAATCCTATAACATAATTGTACCTATAATTTCATACGAATACTCGCTTATGTGTATATATTGTTCATTCAATTCATAGATGGGGTGTGTCTTTGAAAATACTGATTTACTTCATGTTGGCGAATTAAACAGTAAACAGATATATGTTCACAATCAAATTATTTTATATATGGATAAGAGCTAGACTTGTTTATTTATGTTCATAAAATATTGTTGAATAAATTACTTAAACATGTACATACTACTTACTTAGATAATAGACCATTCAAAGCTCACTTAGGGCATGTATGTTCACTTTAGCTTGATTTCAGTTCAGCTCCTAATTTCGTTCTCTCATAAAATATTTATTTCAGCTTTATCCAGTTCAGTTCAGTTCAGCTTCAATCAATTCATTTCAGCTCAAATCGGTAAATGTGATCTGACCCTTAGTCATTCAATAATATTTGCAAAATTTCAATACTAGCACCAATATAGCTTATGCAACTCATTTCTTTTTGTGTAATTGTGATAATCTATTGGGATTTTAGAAAGGTCTCCTAACCAACAAGGCCGCATCAAAGCTCGAGTGGAGTTTAAAATAAATCAGTCGTGACTTGTCAAATCATAATTATAGAAAATTGACATGTGAGTTATTCTCTGAATTAACATACTAAAACATGGCATGCAACTTATGTCAAACTTATTACCTTCTTCGTTCCAGAAATATTTGTAAGTTTGACTTTATTTTACTTAATATATACTAGGATTGACCAAAGTTTTTTAAAATATGGTATTAAAAACAAAAAAAAAATATTAATATACTTAAGGTCAAATTAGTTTATCGTCAATTATTATAAGACAGAAAGAATATTTGTCATTTTAACCATAAAATGATGTAAGAGTTAATAAACTTAATTTAGATAGACAATAATCTGGTTGCATTTCCGAATCCCTTAATAAATTAATTAATTAATAAATTTTTTTTAAAAAAATAGTTGCATTGACATAAAGGCATCGAGGATTGCACTATAAAAACAACACCCACGCTAAGCCACACTACCTACATACACCTTATTAGTATTCTTAATTACCCCTTTGGAGTTGTGAACTGCCCTAACTTAGCTAAAACCAACAAAAAGAGAAAGAGAGAGAAATCAGCAGAAAGCTGAGAAACAAGATCAGAATTATCTTTCTTCTTCTATTTTTCAGGCCCACAAAACATACAACCTCTTACATCATGGAAGAAGGGATGTCAGGCTTTTGCATCCAAACAACAAAGACTACTAGGGCTGCTTCTTACGGAAGCGGCGGCGGCGGGCCTCCTAGCAGCGGCACCAAGTGCGGGCGCTGGAACCCAACCGCAGAACAGGTTAAGGTTCTTACGGACTTATTCAGGTCAGGGCTTCGAACACCCAGCACTGACCAGATCCAGAAGATATCTACTCAGTTGAGCTTTTATGGTAAGATTGAGAGTAAGAATGTTTTTTATTGGTTCCAAAACCATAAGGCTAGGGAGAGACAAAAACGACGTCGTGTTTCTAAGGATCATGATGCTCCTTGCTTTCAACTTGATGACCATCTTAAACCTATTGCTCCTGCTAAATGTAAGTTTTCTTGCTTGTTACGCAGTATTCATACTCGTATATACGTATTATTGTTTTTTTATAAGGAAACTCACAACTGAAAAATTGGATTGTGTTATTTTTCTAACAAGTTTCAACTTAAATTACTTTTTTTTAAGTTTTAAATTAGAACTCACAATGTTAATGAACAAGCTATTGTAAGTAGTTAATATTTGTTTTTGGTACAATGAGGAAACCAGTTTATAGAATATAAAACCAACTTAGAGTTTCAACCAGTAGCTTAAACTTTTGGTAAACTTGATCTTCTAACACTATATTTTTTCTAACGGGCTCAATAGACTGATGTACAATAAACTTTGAATAATAAACAACTTCCTTAGTTAGCTATGAATGTTAAATCATTGAAACGGTTTTAACTTTTAAGTAATGCATAGTCCAATATGAGTATGATTATTAAGTCTAACGACATAGTTGTTTTTAATTTGGTCTTGCAGATTTTGGTGAGATAAATCAAATTGTATGTGAACCAGAACGAGCAATAGAAACACTTCAACTCTTCCCATTGAACTCATACCATGAACAAGAGTCCGATAAGCTAAGGATGTTCTCAAATGAGTGTTGCAAGGAGAATTACGCAACATTTGCTGCATACACATTTGGAAGAGATCATTTCGACCATCCCCCTTTGGATTTGCGCTTAAGTTTCTTTTAATTAAACCAGTAGTTAATTAATGTTATTACTAGAAGCACACTAATTACTAGCTAGATTAACATAAACTGTAAAAACATTAAGATAGAAACAAATATATTTCCTTTAAAAAAAAAGGTAGAACTATGGTATTATGTTATGCTTTTTCTTTCAAATTTCGTTCAACCTAATTGTTTATTGTAATTTAACGCTTGATATTGTAATTAGTGCATGCATGCATGGCACTGAGATGAAATTAAATGTAGAAAATCGATGAAGTTATGGAAATTAACGAAAAAGCGTAGACATTCTATCCTTTCTTTGATCCTATGACTTGTTTATAAACAAACGGAGTAGTTTTAATTATTAATTTGTTCATTGTGTCAAAAAAAAAAAAAATTATTAATTTGTTCATTATTGTTCTCTGTGTTTACTCTGTTGTTTGGATCATTTTTGTTTTTGATTATATTCAAGAGGTTGGGAATGCAAATTTGTTCCTTCAAGAAGAGATGTTTTTGTTTGAATTGCATTATAATATGTCAATAGGTGCAAATAAGTCATGGACTCATGGACATTCGAGAGTAGGTTTAATAATGCTACTCATTTAACTTGAAAGTATAACTTGTTCGTTTCAGCTATTTTTATACATGACCCATACAAAATTCCCGTATAAATTTCCATCATACATTCACGATGATCCAGATCTAATTCGAGATAAAGTATTTTATAACAACATTGACACAATGTTTATATATGTAGGGAAATTAGACTTCCATTACAACTTGTATAACTTGTCTTAATTTATTTATTTATTGGGTTTTTCTAAGCTATGCCCCCAAGTTCTTCGGTTTCTAAGCTGTACCCATACTTTTTCAAAGTTATAAGCTGTGCCATTTACCTCACGATATTTTATCAACAATATCCTTTGATAGCCATATCCGTTAACGTAAGTTAAGTTATTTTATCAATAATGGTATCGTGGCATTATTAATTTGACACGTGTTCCGTTCTTATTGGTTTAACACTTTAAAAAAATTAAAAAATCAGAAAAAAAATAAAATAAAAAAAAGGTTATTGTTAACGTCAAAGGTTATTATTAATAAAAATTAGTGATGTTGTCCATGTTGAGGGCACAACTTAGACGTTTGATAAAGCATGGGCACAACTTAGAAAGTGAAGAAGTTTGGGGGCATAACTTAGAAAAACCCTTATTTATTTTAATGCATTAAGGCATCGATCAATTTTTATACTCATATGTAGTACCTCCACTTCTTATTATATGCAACTTTGGAATGTTATACGAGCACATAGACAAAATTTGTTTATGACTGTTAAATGGAGATATAAAGATAAAAATGCATGTGATGAAGAGAGAAAGAGAGAAAGAAATGGCAACTTAAAACGAAAACATAAAGCATTTGTTGCAAATAATACAAAACATCTATTTTTAGCAAATATTATGCATAATAAACATAATGTAGTACACACTAGTATGGACTATGGAGTATTGACTATTGAGTATATAAGTTAGGTCATACATTTTGTTAAAAAAAAATAATAAATAAATAAATAAAAACTCTGTAAAAATAAATTAAAAAAACGGAAATTTCACCATATACCACTGAGTTTAAGCATAATTCACCGTATACCACCAAAAACTTTCTAATACACCATATACCACTCAGTTATTGTATATTAACACAAAATGCCCTTTTTGCTAACTGCCGTTAGTCTGCCGTTTGGGGGACTTTACTAATTCACCATATACCATTAATTTATAAGTAATTTCACCATATACCATGTAGTTTAAGGTTAATTCACAGTATACCACTTTTTTTAAAACGGTAACTTTTTTTGAAAAAAAATAGCCGTTGCACATTGATAACGGCTACTTTGTCTATATAAAAGCTGGGCGTGACGGATTCGTGTTTCAGGTCACTCTTCTAAACACATTTGCAAAGATGTCCACACACTCGAAATCATCGTCGTCCGGTTTTGTAAGAGTGCCTAACAAAGCGTGTTCTTGTGGTAGGAAGTTTGCAATACGGAGTTCTGAATCGGCAAAAAATCCGCAACGGTTGTACTATAAGTGTGATGTGTGTGACACATTTAGATGGTGCAAGGGCAATGTCGAGAAAAATGTCCAATCAGGTTATGAAAATCAAAGTAGGGGAGGGATAGACACCCAATACTATGGAGATGAGAGGTTGTTGAAGCAAGAGTTGAAGGACCTCAAGCGAAGAGTAGTAAGGCAGCAAAAGATAGTTGATCTAGCAATAAAAATAGGAGTACTTATGTTTTTGTTAATTGTATTTGTAGCCTTGAAATGATTAATGTAAACAAAGTGCATTAGTTATATGTAGCCTTGAAATGATTATTGTAATCAAAGTGCATTATCATTCCAAAAATTATGGCCACATAATTGTGCATTAACACTTAAGGTCAAATAGTAATCCCTAAAAAACAACCAAGTACTTAACAGTTTGTTGAGCAAAAAACCAGAAACTTAACAAAAAATTTTAAAAATTATCCTCAAACAAAGTTGACACATCATGCATGGCAGCTTCAAGGTTGCTGACTGTCAGCCTTTCTCTTCCTCCCCCTTCCTTTGGCTTGCTGTGAAGAGGTTGCTGCATCTTGTGCCTTTTTTGCTGCTTCCTTCCTTGCCTTACAGGTTAAGGCATTGTGTCCCAATTCCTTGCAAACACTGCATTTGTTGTTCTTGTGCCTCTTTCCTTTCCTTGCTTCATGAGGGGCTCTTCTTCTCTGCTTAGCTGGTCTGCCTGCAGTTCTTTTGACAGTTGGTGGTAAAATTTCAGGTACATCAAATGCAGGCCAATGAGTAGGATCAGCCATAGGGTGGATATGGTCTCCATAAGTCATCTTATACGCAGCCCCCTTGTAGTATGGTGACACAAAATCTGTTGGCTGTAGTCTCTGGCTGTAGATGACCCTAAGACCATGCCTGCATGGTATCCCTGATCCCTGCCATTTCCCACACCCACATGTCATAGTCAAGTGTGACAGGGAACTTGACATGGCCATCCCTGACTTCAAACTCTCTCCCACCAGCTGTTGTTATATGGCACAACCTTGACTCTTCACTTCTTGTCTCCAAAACCTCTTTAGCATGTTCTGTCAGCTCATTAGGGTCCATGTCAATTGCTTTGTCAAACCTGGAACCCATTCTTTTCATGCACCAATTCCTGACAGCTGGTTTAGTTTTTGAAAAAAAAAAACAAAAAAAAAAAAAACAAATACAGCACAAACAAATTCACAGATATCAGAACAAGAAATAAAGTACCAACTGAACTCATGAAATAAAGTGTCAGTTAATACCTTCCAGTAAAGTGAACACATGCATGTCTCTGTTGTCCTTTGTAACTGAGTTGAATGACTCAACAAAGTTTGTTGTGTTATGATCACAACAAACAACTCTGTCAAACTTGTGCCTAGTCCACTGCTCTTCAATATTTGTCAGGTACTCAAATGCTGCTGCATCATACTTCTTTATCTTTGACATTGCTTTGTCATACACATACTCATTATAGGCATTGGCTGCAATCCAAAATAGCTTATGGAACTCTGTCCTACTCCATCCACCAGTCTTGCAATTTGAGTACAGATGCTGACAGCAGACTCTCCTTGTTGCCCTTGGGAACACTTCAAAAAGGGCTGGTTCTTTTTCATTGTCACTTATAAAAGTCCAATCTTCCTTCTGGCAACCATTCTGGGCAAATAAGTGTCTTAGGTTTCTGAAGAAATAAGACCAGTTGTCTATGCTCTCTGTATCCACCAATCCATAAGCTATTACAAAAATTTCATTGTTACCATCAATGCCTACTGCAGTGAGCATAATTCCTTTGTAATACCCACTTAGATGTGAACCATCTATCCCTATAATGGGTCTGCAACCACTCAAGAACCCTTTCACCTGAGCTGCAAAAGAGAAGAAACATGCCTTGAATTTGGTACCATTAACCCCATTGTCAGTCCATGTGATCAGAGCATATGAGCTAGGATTTGTGGCTTTAATCATCTCTGCATATTTTGGTAAAATTGCATAAGACTCTGCAAAACCACCATGAATTTACTCCCTGGCTAAACACTTCACTTTATAAAAAAATCTGAGCTTCACTTGGATCCTAAACCTTTCCAGGCACATTCTTTGTAATGATTCAACTGGAGTCTCTGGATTTGCCTCTAAGTCTTGCCTCAACTGTCTACAGAGCCATGCTGAAGAGACCATGGGGTTCTCTTCCAGCCTCCCACAAGTACTATGTTCACCTTCTAGCTTCTTAATAGCCCAGCTCACCTTATCAACAAGAACTGCTGCATGAATCCTCCAATTGCAGTCACTGATCAGACACCTTGTTGTATATCTGTAATTATCAGCATAGTCAACTGACACTGCAAAGCCTTCTTGTATGCAAAAATCTCTGAATACCTCATGAAATTGTGTTTTGTTTTCAAAGATTAACCAAGGTTCTAGCTGAATTGACCCAAATGGTAAGTTAGCCCAAACCTTGCCATTTCTGTACATCTTGTCCAGAGCATGAGATCCATCTAGGTAATCTTCAAATGTCTTCTCTGGTATGTTATCAGCTAGGTCATCCTCTTCCACAATGTAGTCATCATCAAGGTTCAAGTCCATCTCCATATCACCCTCATCTTCAGAAAATTCATAGTCATCATCATCACTATCATCAAATGGCCATGGATCAGACTCACTGTCAGTTTCTTGAACAGGCATAGGTTTTTTGCTCCTAGTATTGATTTCCCTCCCTCCTCTTTTGTTTTTCCCAACCTCAACACCATACTTCTTTGCTGTGCTTCTAGGCACCCTCCATTCAGCTGGTTTAACCCTTGTTTGTTCTTTAGGCTTTGCTGCAGAACTAGAAGCACCCCTAGTTTAGGTTGGTTGCCTTGATGCAGCTGTATTTAGTTGAGGTGGTGGTGGGGGTGGTGGTGGTAGGGTGGGGGTGGTGTAGGTTGCATGGGTGGGGGTGGTGGTGTAGGTTTCCTGGGTGGGGGTGGGGGTGTAGGTTGCCAGGGTGGGGGGGAAGCATGGTGTGTTGGTGTTGTTGGTGGAGAAGGGTGCTCTTGAGAAACATTTGGTGGAGATGGAGGATGAGTTGGTTAAGTAGATTGTGAAGGTTGGGTTTTTTTCTTCCTTGGAGTTACTTTTTTCCTTCTAGGATTTTTTTGGGTGGTGATGGTGTCTTACTTTTTTCATTTGTGGGTTGACATGGTTCATTTTGTGAAGGTTGAGGCTGAGAATCTCCTGGAAATGACTCATCAGCTGCTGTAGTGTGGAATACCCTCACATATTCAAGCACATCATCTCCTGCATTCACAACAGGGACCTCTACAGCAACAGTATATGGTACTTGAGCATTAAGCTCCTCCTCAACTTCTTTAGCCTCTGCATTTTTCCTTCTCTCTTCCTCCTTCTGCCTAATTTGGTCAGCCCTATTCTTCACAGTTCTAGCCCAACTAGCTTCTGCAGACTGAAAGACAACAGATGGGTTTTGTGTCTCTTCTATGAACACTTCAATTTCATCCTTCCCTTCATTCCACTCCCACATTTTCAACATTGCCCCATCATCCACTAACTCCAGCTTACGATTAGTTCTAGGTTTACTCACAAACAAAGTGAAGTACTTAGGGAGGAAAACATTCTGCTTCACTGAATCCTCAAACATATACTCAAATAACTCCATCAAATTTGTCTTATCAGTATCATCTACCCTAACATCAAAAGTACCACCAGGCGAACGAACTAACAGCCAAAGTGCACTCATCCTATTCATGAATAATACACAACAAAAATTAACAACACACATCAACACATCATACAAAACACATCATACTTAACAACAAACTTACTTATAAATCGCATGCAACACATCATTCGCACATAATAACATAACAACCACACTCACATAATCAATGTCGAACAAACCCTAACCCTAACTCAATTTCGCAATAAACAGAAAAATCAGGCCTCGAAAAACAAATTGAAAAGGATCATTTTACCTTCAGAAAGCTTGATCGAGCCCAGGTGCGAATTACGACCAAAATTCAGTCAAGAACAACTTCCTCTCTCTCAAACTTCACCAAGTTCGTTCTTTTTCCAATCACAAGCCCCAAATTGAAAACATACTGGCAACGTCGACCTTGGATCGATGAAAGTTTGAAGCTTTTTGATTGATTTTGGGGTTCGATTTTAATGGAGAAGAACAGAGAGAAGCTTCAATGGAAAGGGGAAATGGGGGGTCAATTTTTTCAAACTAGAAAAATTATGTTTGGGGGAGTCAACCCTATCAATGGCGCCAGTTAGATGTATAAGGGCATAATGGTAAAGTCCCCCAAACGGCAGACTAACGGCAGTTAGCAAAAAGGGCATTTTGTGTTAATATACAATAACTGAGTGGTATATGGTGTATTAGAAAATTTTTGGTGGTATACGGTGAATTATGCTTAAACTCAGTGGTATATGGTGAAATTTCCGTTAAAAAAAAAATCACTCAAGTTGATCCAACATCAAAGTTAACAAGAGCTCGGGCCAGCACCAAACTTGGCAACCTCCTGTTGCGGGCACATACACGGTAAAATGTGGCCCTTCAACGAAGCCCATGTCCATAGAAGTCCACGTTGCTAAATGCTAATAGTCTGCTACAAGAACGGCAACATTAAAGCCCACATCAATAGCGCCACTTGTTCCCTTCATATTCCACCGTCTATCATATTGGACTTTTGGTAAACCAACACCAATGCCTGCGCCCTGCATTACTTGCAATCAGACTATCAGAATATTGCTAGTCAAATCAAAGCAAATTAGCTCTCGGCAAAATAGATAAAAATATAAATATCTTTATAGATGTTGTAATTTATGAATAAATCTTTACTTAAAAGAAAATGGTAAAAAGATAATATTACGGTATACATAGTGGCACCTCACTGCTAAAACTCTTGTCAATACTTCCTCTATTCAATAACAACAAAGTATATCAATGTGGAATAGACGGTGTATTACCTAACTTTTCTTGACTCTCGATTCTCATTTGTAAGTTATACGCAAGGAAATTACGATTTATGTGATTTATTAGATATATTCGTACACGATACACTAGATTATTTTCATAGCCATCTCAACGCTACCACCATCACAACCTCCTCAACCAACCGAAATTCCATCACAATTACCACCATCTCTCTGTATTCTCGCGAAATCTTCTTCTTCCCGTCATTCTCCTCTTCTTCCTTCCTCAAGCAATCAATGTCGCGAAGCGGCAAAACAAAACAAAATCTAATAGCAAAGAGTGTCAAGTAGGGCTATATCAATCCCTTGGGGAGCATCCTTTAATGATGGAGGAAGTTTGACCATTAGAGGATAGAGGAGCCAAAAATGGAGGAAATATAGGATAAGGAAGAGGAAGAAAGCACTAAAATTATTATGTTGCCCACAAACTAATTAATGAAATGACTATTATAGCAATTTGATATATCAAGCTGATCAACTTGTATTTTCTCGTTTATACAATTAGTTACAATACAAATATACAATCGAGCTTTACATTAAAAATAAAATCAATTGTTGAAGTGTTTCGAAACCTTTGTGGTATGTATTTTATATTTGGTAGAATTTTTATAAACTTGAAGTACATACATTCACTCAAAAAAAAAGAAAAAAACCCATTTTCAATGTGGACGGTCGACATACACACGAAAACTGACTGGACAACATCTGAATTGTACTGTGTGATCGACCAGCCACAGTTGAAACTTTGTGGAAATAAAAATATATTATGTAAAATTAAATACAAGATTTTTTTTTTAATTCTTATTAATCTATATCTATACTTAGTATTTAAAAACTATAACCAAGAAACTAAGAAAGACACATGTCCCCATCCATTTTATTACACTTCTCTAATCATAGTGCCACATTTCATCTTACACTATTAATTTTTTATTACACCATTTTTTTTAATTCTTTCATTAAACTTATACTTCATCTTTCATACACACTTCATCTCTCCCCTTTAATTCAACCTTTTCCTATTCTCTTTAATTTTAGCCCTTCCACCTTCTATTTAAGTCTCTTTTTCGATTAAAGTTCCAAAATTTTAATTTTTTTAATCATGTTTCCGATTACATATTATACCATATAATGACTTACTGATATTTCCTCACTTATCTCTCAATATAATTTTTCTGATTACATATTATATCCTATAACGACTTACTGATATTTCCTCACTTATCTTTCAATACAATTTTATATGAATAAGCCGTGCATTGCACGGGCCAGAAGGCTAGTTACGGAGTAATAAGGTAAGAAAAATGAAAACATTATAGCAAACCCTTCACACGAGAAAATACAAGCAAAATGAAATGAAATGAAACAATCCAGAGTACGAAGTACGGAGTACTTATATTGGAGTACTAATACGGAGTATGGTATACGTTTGTTATTGAGAACAAGAAAGGTATCCCCTTGAAAAAGAAACCAAAGGAAGTCGAAAACCAGAAGAAGAAGAAGAGCTCGAAGTCGAAAATGGATGTAATCAAGACGCAACAGATCTCTTCTAAAGCCATCGAGAAGGTGGTTGTTCATCCGTTGGTACTTCTCAGCATCGTCGATCACTACAATCGTGTTGCTCGCGACACTAAGAAGCGCGTCGTCGGTGTTTTGCTAGGCAGCACTTTCAAGGGTACCGTCGATGTTACCAACAGTTACGCCGGTAATTTCTGGATCTCAACTATTCAATTTTAAGCAATTTCGATTTCAATTGGTTATTTCTTTGCTGATTTTGGTAGTAATTCGTTTGATTATTGGTTTTTGCTAGATTTAGGGTTTCGGATTTCAAATTTCGTTGTTATTTTTGAATTCTGTGTGCTTTTTTTGGTTGTTATCGTGGTATATTAGATTTTAGGGTTTAGGGTTTGCGGTTTTATGGGAGTTTGAATTTTGTTGTTGTTTGCTGAAGTGTTAGGGTTTCAGTTACTCAACATCAATGTATTGTGTGTGAACATAAGGTTTTTATGTTATTATTGGAATGAATTTCAAAGCCTTGTTGCTCAATGCATTTGAGAACTCGTATAGATTTAGAACTTTTGGAAGAGATCAGAGCTTCTGAGGAGATTATATGCTGGTGTTGAGCTTCCAATTGATCAAATTGTGTTTAATTTGGGCAGTTGGTGGAAGATGAGGGTCACAATTTGATTTCGTTGTATATGTGTTGAGAATCCGTATATATAGTTAAGATACAATGATCCTGCATCTATATTTTGATAGGATGAACCACTGCTTTGAAACTGCTGTTATAAATTGTTTCTAGATTGATGACACTTCAAGGACATGAAAATTAGAGGAACATTATCCAATGATGGTCACGCCATTGAAGCAGTTTAGTAGGTTGTGCTCTCTTTACTTGGTGATTTGTATGAAGTGGACAATGATTGTGTAAATCATGTGGCTGGCCTATTAGAAGTAGCTGGGTTATATAGCAGTGAAATCCTTGACGTCTATCTTCTGTGGAAACTTCACTCCATTAATTGGATGACACTTATGAACTCCGTTGTTTTTTTAATAAAATTTGCCTCTTCTCAGTAGGGCACAACCTGTATTCTTGTCAATGGGTAAGTTGAGTAATTGATGTTCTTGTTTTAGAGCCAGACCCTTGATGTAGGATTTGCTTTTAGTATTGTTGCATGTTTCCTTGCCTGATTGGCTAGGGTGTGAGCTCTAGCTGCCACCTCCCTAGGGACTTTACTACAACACAAATAATTTAAATTACGAGCGAGATGAAGGATATTCTTGATGAGCGCACGGTTTTCCCAAGCACACTTCTGGGGATATTGCAGTCCCTGGATCGCTTCCAAGCTGTCTGTGTAGACTTCGATGTTTGTGTGCCCTTGTTTCGCATGGTAGATTCCCCACCATATAGCTTGTAATTTTGCTTGAATGCTTGAGTTTGCAAAAACTCTAGTTGCACCTTCATCCCAGTTTATATCTTGCCTTTTTATCCTTCTTCCAAGCCCCATCCACAGTTACAATGGCTGGGATAGAATCTCCATAATGCCCCTGACACTGGAAAGTTTTGGGTGGGTCTTGAGCTCCAGATAGATAGCTCTAGATAGATACTCAGTAGACCGTAGATATCCAGATATTTGGATGAGAATTTATGTTTGTTCTGCCTTTGTGGTCAAACTACTCTTCTGACTTTTTGAAAGTGTTTTACATGCTGTTATCTAAGAGAAATTTACTAGGTCTTTATGCACTGGCCAACAGCTCGTATGATATTCTGATGTAGTGTATCCATGTATACAGTGGTTAAAATTGATTGTATTCTGAATTTCATATTTTGGTTTTACAATGTATTATCTATTCAATTCAAGTGGTTAAACTAATACTTTCATGGTTTGCAACTTTGTATGGTGGGTTTAACCAGATAGATGAGGAATTCATTTTCTATCCCTCTCTTTTTCTAATATGGTCTTGCTCTGATATTTGACTCAAAAAATGCAGTTCCCTTTGAGGAAGATGACAAGGACCCCAGCATTTGGTTTCTTGATCACAACTACCATGAATCTATGTTTTCCATGTTTAGGAGAATTAATGGTAATTCTGTTCTGATTAACACACCTGGTATCCCTACCTTTATAGTTTTTCAGCTTGAACTTGATTTCATCTCGTACTAATTCTTCTTATATTTCAGCAAAGGAGCATGTTGTAGGTTGGTATAGCACTGGTCCTAAGCTTCGGGAGAATGATTTGGATATCCACAGATTATTTAACGAGTAAGATAACTCCCCCCCCCCCCCCATCCCCAAACAGCTCAAAATGAATTTGCGTTGTGATTTCCCGCGTTGTACTATTCTCTATTTTCTGGTCCTTTCTAATTTCTCACGTATCCTATATTTTTTCTCCATTGTTGCTTAGTAATGTAGAAAATCAATTGAAAATTCGATTCATTCATAGGTGGTTCAAGGTACATATTTTTGACAAGGATCTTGTGACTGATATATTGCTGGATAATCCTTGAGGATAAATCCATGATAGCTAAACGTCTGTGAAAGATATATGAGCTAATACTAAAAGACTTAGAAGTAGACCATCCTTGGGCTCAAGGGTAACTAAGATGGTGTTGTGAGTAATTTTTGTGAGATTTGGGGTAACCCATACACGTGAATTTGACCAATATGTCAGTATCCTGTTCATGCAAATTTGGGTGAGCAAAGGATAATGTATAGTTGAGCAGAATGTGTCAAACATTACCCTGTTTACTTTTAAGAACTTGAATGAGTTGTCTGTTATCATTCGATTTTCATCTTGAGAAGATGATTGACTAAACTGATTGGAACTTGATCTGTACACAGATTTAAAAATTCTGAATGTGTCTCTTACAAGGTTATTAAGCAATATTTCTGTTCCCTTCTTTTTTTGAACTGACTGTACATATGTTTGGGGTTTGTAGCTACGTCCCAAATCCTGTCTTGGTGATCATTGATGTACAACCAGAAGAGCTGGGAATACCAACCAAAGCTTATTATGCTGTTGAAGAGGTCAAAGAGGTAAGATTCCAAGTTTGTTTATGTTCTGCTGCCTGCAAAAATTAGTAATATTGCTTTTTTAGGATAAAATTGGTGGACTTCTGTCGACTAGATTGTTTATCTTGAATAGGAGAGAAGTATATCAAATTGAATAGCATGCTTTTTCAAAGTTAATATGTTGCATTTGCTGTGATCTCGTTTTTGTAAGGTTTGATATTGGAAATATAATTAAACATCCACTCCATTAGCTACTTTAAAGTTGCATGTTTTCATTTACAGAATGCAACACAGAAGAGCCAGAAGGTATTCGTACACGTTCCTTCTGAAATTGCTGCTCATGAAGTTGAGGAAATTGGTAAGTTTAACCACGCAACATGTATGATTGCTTTCCATTGATCTCTTTCTGTTGGTGGAGATGAAACTTGATTGCTATTTTTTTTAGAGTTCCAATCCCCGTGGTTCTGCGTGGCATATAACTTATCTTGATGTGTATATGCTAATCTTGCAGGAGTGGAGCACTTGCTTAGAGACGTGAAGGATACAACCATCAGTACTCTAGCAACAGAGGTAACTCTACAACAATTTGCTATTTTTGGCTTACAGTTGTCCTCATTTTGGATGCTTAAAAGATTGAGAAGTGCTTAGATTTTTATCTGTCATTATGTCATTAGTTGGAGGATACTAACTCTTTTATTTTTTGTGCAGGTGACTGGGAAACTTGCAGCACTCAAGGGGCTAGATGCTCGTTTGCGAGAGATTCGTAGTTATCTTGAACTAGTTATAGAGGGAAAACTCCCACTCAACCATGAAATACTGTACCATTTGCAGGTTTGTTCATTCAAATTTTTTGCATGTGTTCTTAAACCCTCGTGGCGTGATTATTTGTTATCAATATATGTAAGACTGTAGGTCCTTTCTGCCATTAATAATGTCTAGTACGTGAGCCTATGTAGCTGCCTGCCTGCTTGTATCTAATTTAAGGATTAGAAAGTTGGAGACAAATGTAGATGAAAATTTGGTGTGTTATTATTAACTATAAATATTGAGATTACGGGAAACTTTTCCCACTCGAATTGTTTTTATTTGATAAAGTTTTGCTCTACAATGATTTAGTGATTCCCCATTTGCTAAATAGAGAGCCACTTATGTATTTTGTATTATAACCTTTCAACTTTAAAAGATGGGGAAAACCCTGACATTGTCTATTCCACACCCATGGATAACCGTACTTGATAATTGAATGAACAGTGATATAATACTACCAAATTAAGGTTGCTTGTGTTGTTTCATGAACTTACAATCTCCTTCAACTGTGAACCATTAATTATTTTTATTTTATATTTGTGTGCGCAAAGTGTTTATTTTCCTTGTAATTTTACCCTTTGTTTTGTACATCTTTATCTATTGTTATTCCCTCTTTTTCTTTTATAATTATTTCATTCGGAATCTTAAGGAAATTCTGTTCTAAATAAAATCTAACAATTTGAGGGTAAAAATATACTTCAAAAAATAGCCGTGTTGGATCTTGTTGTCATCGTCTTTTTTAGGTTCAAATATGTAATTTTTTGTAATATGTACCAAAAGATATTGTTATTACAAGATTGCATTGGAAATTGTGCAAGATTTTAAATGAGACAAATAAAAAAGGCAAGCAAGTGTAAGCTTATTTTGTGAGCAATTTTTTGTTTTTTTTCTTCTTTTTTGAGGTCTTTTAACCTTTTGGCTAATCAAATGTGATTTAGCCTTTGTTCATTGCTAATTTTTACATCAATAATGAACTTTTCTTGCTTTTTTTTTTTTCATTGTTTTTGTAGGATGTGTTCAACCTTCTCCCTAATCTTAGTGTTCCTGAGTTGGTCAAGGCTTTTGCAGGTATGAAAACAAAGTATTTTTTTCTTATTTGAATATTGTATGAAGTTTTGTATTGTTTTGTGATTGTGTGCCTGCTTGTTTTTGCAGTCAAAACAAATGACATGATGCTGGTTATATATCTGTCTTCTCTTATCCGAAGTGTGATCGCTCTCCACAACTTGATTAACAACAAGGTGAAAATTTTCTCTCATATCTTAGATAATATGTACTTCCTCCGTTCTATTAATATTGCAACAATGGACTTTTTGCAATATTCATCACTCTTGTTTGACCATATAATATGATTAATACGTTAAGCAAAATATAGTCATGTAGGATCTTGTTGGATTCGTCTCATAAAATACTTTCACGATATCAACTTTTTATAATTTTTACTCTTACACAATTATAGATATTTAACATATAAAATGTGCTTTGGGATGCGTAATTTCCTCCTTGTTGCAATATTAATAGAACGGAGGAAGTACTATGTAATTTGGCCGATAAGTTTTTAGTGTTTGTCACATACATAATAGTTTTGTGGTGTACTATAAAAGTAGGTGGTGAGATTCATCAGATTATTTACTAATAGATGATAGGTTTATAAAACCTTTTCTGTGGCCTGAATCACTCCCACGAGCTTGACAGAAAACTAAGTTAGCAATTCAATATCCTGCTTGGTTTTTTCTCTGCCTACTGGCTCTAACTTACCCGCTCTACAACATTTTATTTATTCTCTATTATCTCTAATGCCTATGTTACTCCTTTCCATTAGTGTAGTCTACTATGCAGTTGCTCTGAGTCACTATGACCTACTTTTACTGTTTGTTGTTATGGGAATTATTGATGGCAACCTGAAGTAACAAAACTGTCACTAAACATTAAGAAAATTGATAATTTTTGGGATTTTTTTGTTCCTTCTTTAATAACATGGCTTTGGGTTTTTGGGCACTTGGCTTGTGTTTGGTTGGGACCTTCGCTACTTAATTTTGGTTTTATCATGATTGGTGTGCTCAAATATATTGATGTCTGTAGGGAGAGCCCTTGGTTGGAGTGTGAGGAGTTGAGGGTTGACAATGGTTGGGACCCTTTGTTTGTCATATGACCATTGGCTTATGATTTGTAATCTCTTGTATAAAACCTCCAAAAATTGTGTATCCCTGTTTTCCCCTTGTTTTCAAACTTTGAAAAATATCATCATTGTGTAAAAATTTGGTTTTCAAGTATCAGATTTTCTTAGCTGTTCTCTGGCTAATACTTTTAGATGTGGCTTCATCAGAAGCAGCTAATGCTAACTTAGGCTGCATAACAGGGTCGCATTGAGCTTCGGTCTAACATCATAACATTGCATCTGCCATATGCTAGCCAAACTGTATTACATTCACTCATTATAGAGCTATTTTTCTTAAAGATATATGGTGTTATTGAGAATATTAATTATTGAACCTTTTTTAATTTCCAAAGAAACTATAGCTAATTTGCTGGTTGTTTTGTTATTGTGCTGTTTCAGATGCTCAACAAGGAGCATGAGAAGGCAGAAGACTCGAAGCCCTTAGCTGTACCTGCTGCAGTAGGGAGCTAAATTCAAGAATCCTAGCACAGTTAATGAGCTTCAGGAAGAGTACAGATCTTGCTTTCACTGCTATATCTAGAATTTGGGATGAAATTTGCTTACATGTGCCTAGTTAGTCTTTGCTTTGCAAAGTTGGGACTTGGGAAGGCAGTTCAATTACCCATTGCATGAGTTGAAGAGACAAATCAGATATTTTTTTAAATGTGTTAGATGTTTGAAAGATGCCATTGTTTTCATCTGTTTCATTGTACCTCATCTTGAGATGCTGCTGCATCTTTCATGTTCGGTAGCTTGATTACAATGACATTCATGTGCTCGCTCTTGCAGTTTTTATGCTGCGCAAGTGCTGTGTCAACATAAATTATGTAATTTATTTACTAAGGTCTCCAGCCTGGAGCTACTAACATTTTCATGCAAGACTTAATTAAAGATGAGGTATGTATTCATATATTTGAGCTATAATGCAGAAAATTTATTAATAACTCATGAGTTGTAGAGACTAAAAATTGCTGAAAGTCTTATATTTGGGCTATAAGCTGGTTGACAATACAAGAATCTAGATTTTATCCATCTGCAACAGTTGTAGGTAGAGCTGTCAAAAGTTGACACGACCCGAAATACCGACTCAAATCCGATTATTTAACTGACCCATTTGAACCCGAAAAAATGGTGACTCAAACTTGACCTGACCCGACCTGAAACCAACCCTAGACTCGAGTTGACCCGAGTATGTGAGACCCGAACTTGAACATGAACTGACCAGGAGTTGAACCGATTAAATTAACTTAACCCTACTACGAAAATTTATAACAACATATAATGATCATATATAGTTCCAAACGACATTATATGACCCCAAGATGTATCTCCTTAAGTTTCAAAACCTTTTGGCATCGGGGCTCGAAACATTCCAAATTTCTCAAAACGCGTGGATTTCAATTTTGGAAATTTTTTTACTTTTTTTCACCAGGAAATAAAAGTTGTCGAAATGTTTACCATGGTCCCTAATACCTCCCATGAGTCTAATTGGGTAGGTGGAACCATCCAATTTGGCTTTAAACGACCAAAATTACCGACTTACAACTTGTACTAATTTCATTAATTCAAGCCTACCACGAACATTTATGACAACATATGATGATCATTTATGGTTCAAAACGACATTATATGACCCCGAGATATATCCCCTAAAATTTCAAGACTTTTCGATACCAGGCCCCAAAACCTCTAAAATTTCTCAAAAAATGTTGATATTAGCCTTCAATTTCGGAATTTTTGACTTTGTTTTGCCCAGAAATAAAAATTGCCGAAAAGTTTACCATGGTCCCTAATACCCTCTGGAAGTCCAATTGGTTGGGTGGAACCATCCAATTTGCCTTTAAACGATCAATTTAATGATTTACAACTTGCACCGAATTCATTAATTCAAGCCTACCACGAATATTTATGACAACATATAATGATCATATATGGTTTCAAACGGCATTATATGACTCCGAGATATATCCCCTATAATCTCAAGGCTTTTCGACGCCGGACCCTGAAACCTCCCAAATTTCTCAAAAAGCGTGGATATTAGCCTTCAATTTTGGAATTTTTTTTAACTTTTTTTTGTCCGGAAATAAAAATTGCCGAAATTTTTACCATGCTCCCTAATACCCTCTGGGAGTCCAATTGGGTGGGTGGAACCATCCAATTTGCCTTTAAACTACCAATTTACCGATTTACAACTTGCACTGATTTCATTAATTCAATCCTACCGCGAACATTTATGACAATGTCAACATATAATGATCATTTATGGTTCCAAACGGCCTTATATGACCCCGAGATGTATCCCCCAAAATATCATTTCTTTTCGACACCGGGCCCCGAAACCTTTCGAAATTTCTAAAAAAGCATGGATGTTAGCCTTCAATTTTGGAATTTTTTGACTTTTTGTCGCACGGAAATAAAAACTTCTTAAATGTTTACCGTGGTCCCTAATACCCCCTGGGAGTCTAATTGGGTGGACGGAACCATCCAATTTACCTTTAAACGACCAATTAATCAGTTTACAACTTGCACTGATTTCATTAATTCAAGCCCATCGCGAACATTGATGACAACATATAATGATCATATGTGGTTCCAAACGACATTATAAGACTCCGAGATGTATTCCCTAAAATCTCAAGCCTTTTCGACACCGGACCCAGAAACCTACCAAATTTCTCAAAAAGCGTGGATGTTGCCTTTAATGTTGGAATTTTTTGACTTTTTTTGCTCAGAAATAAAAGTTGCCGAAATGTTTGCCATGGTCCCTAATACCCTTTGGGAGTCCAATTGGATGGGTGGAACCATCCAAATCGCCTTTAAACAACCAATTTACAAATTTACAACTTGCACCGATTTCATTAATTCGAGCCTACCACAAACATTTATGACAACATATAATGATCATATATAGTTCCAAACGACATTATATGATCTCGAGATGTATCTCCTAAAATCTCAAAGTCTTTTCTACACCTTGCCCCCGAAACCTTAAAAGTTACTCAAAAAGTAGGATATTAGCCTTCAATTTATGAATTTTTTTGACTTTTTTTCGCCCGGAAATTAAAATTGCCGAAATTTTACCATGTTCCCTAATACCCTCTGAGAGCCCAAATTGGTAGATGGAACCATCCAATTTGCCTTTAAACGTTCAATTTACCGGTTTACAAGTTGCACCAATTTCATTAACTCAGGCCTACCTCGAACATTTATGACAACATATAATGATCATTTATGGCTCCAAACAACATTATATGACCCCGAGATGTATTCCCCAAAATCTCATTTTATTTCGACATCGTGCCTCAAAACCGTCGAAATTTCTAAAAAAGCATGGATATTAGCCTTCAATTTTGGAATTGTTGGACTTTTTCGCACGGAAATAATAAATGCTTAAATGTTTACCATGGTCTCTAGCTAATACCCTCCGGGAGTCCCATTGGGTTGGTTGAACTATCCAATTTACCTTTAAATGACAAATTTACCGATTTACAACTTGCACTGATTTCATTAACTCAAGCATACCACGAACATTTATGACAACATATAATAATCATATATAGTTCCAAACAGCATTATATGACACCAAGATGTATTCCCTGTAATTTCAAGATTTTCGACACCAAGTCCTGAAATCTTCAAAATTTCGCAAAATGCGTGGATATTAAGTCTTCAATTTTGGAATTTTTTGACTTTTTTCGCTCGGAAATATAAATTGTCAAAATGTTTACCATGGTCCCTAATATCCTTCGAGAGTCCATTTGGCTGGGTGGAACCATTCAATTTGCCTTTAAATGGCCAATTTACCAGTTTATAACTTGCACTGATTTCATTAATTGATGCCTACCACGAACATTTATGACAATATATAATGATCATATATGGTTCCAAATCGCGTTATATGACCCTGAGATATATCCTATAGAATTTAAAGACTTTTCGACACCGAGCCGAAACCTCCAACATTTTACAAAAAGCGTAGATATTAGCCTTCAATTTTGGAATTTTTTGACTTCTTTTCGCCTTTAAATAAAAATTGCCGAATTGTTTATCATGATCCCTAATACAATCTTGGAGTCTAATTAGATGGGTGGAAATATCCAATTTGCCTTTAAATGGTGAATTTACCGGTTTACAACTTGCTCTGATTTCATCAACTCAAGCCTACCACGAACATTTCTGACAACATATAATGATCATTTATGGTTTAAAACATTATTATATGACCCTGAGATGTATCCCCTAAAATCTCAAATCATTTCGACATCGGACATCGAAACTTAAAAAATTTCTATAAACGAGGGGATATTAGTCTTTAAAAAATTAAAATTGCTGAAATATGTACCATGGTCCCTAATATCCTTCTAAAGTCCAATTGGGTGTGTGGAACCATCTAATTTGCCTTTAAATGGCCAATTTATCGGTTTACAACTTGCACCGATTTATTAACTTAAGTCTACCACGAACATTTATGACAACAAATAATTATCATATATGGTTCCAAACATCATTATATGACCCCGGGATGTATCCCCTAAAATTTCAAGGCTTTTCGACACCGGGCCTCGGAACCTCCAAAATGTCTAAAAAGCGTGGTTATTAAGTCTTTAATTTTTGAATTTTTTGACTTTCTTTTTGCCCGGAAATAAAAATTGCCGAAATTTTTTTCACGGTCCCTAATACCCTCCAGGATTCCAATTGGGTTGGTGGAACCATCCAATTTTCCTTTAAACGGCCAATTTAATTACCGGTTTACAAATTGCACGGATTTCATTAACTCGAGCCTACTACGAACATTTATGACTACATATAATGATCATATATGGTTCCAAACGACATTGTATGACATCGAGATGTATCCCTTAAAATATTTATACTTTTCAACACCGGGCCCCGAAACTTAAAAAATTTCTCAAACGCGTGGATATTAGCCTTCAATTTTGGAATTTGTTGACTTTTTTTAGTCCGGAAATAAAAATTGTCGAAATGTTTACCATGGTCCCTAATACCCCCCGGGAGTCCAATTGGGTGTGTGGAACCATTTTATTTGCTTTTAAACGGCCAATTTACCGGTTTATAACTTGCACTGATTTACCGGTTTACAACGACCAATTTAATTAACTTGCACCGAACCCGAGTTGAACCGAAATTGACCCAAATCAGTTTTAACCCGTCAAAATATGAATTTAACCCGACTTGTTATGAACCTGACCTGAATTCAACCCGACTCGTTCCTAACCCGACCCGAATTTAACCCAACCTATTACAAACCCCACCTGAAACCTACCCGACTTGTTATTGACCTGACCCAAATTCAACTCGACTTGTTATTGACCGACCCGAATTTTACCATACCTATTACTTACCCAACCCAAAAATTCAACCCGATGTGTTACTAACCAACTCGAAATCCACACGACTTGTTATTGACCCGACCTAAATTCAACCCAAATTATTCATGACTCAATTTTAAATCACCCTAAATGTAATTTAGGCCACCTTATTATTGTTGATCAAAGAATTTTGTCTTGGGAGACCAAGTCGGTACAAGCCATCAAAAGAAAGGAGCATCATCCTCAAATTTAAGAGTTAAATATAGTATATATTTGTTGTATGGTCAAAGGAGATAATTATCTTCCTAAATTGTAGACTATAATTCCCTAGTATATTGTCATATATATTATAGTCAAAGGAAATAATTAGCTTGATAAAAATGATAACTATCTATTTATAGTTAGTTGAACCTGAATATGACCTGACTTGAAAATAACCCGACCTGATTGTAATTTGCAAATTATTGACTTGAACCGAACCCGAGTTGAACCCGAGGATGACCCGACTTTAAAATGACCCAACCTGATTATAATCCGCAAATTATTGACTCAAACCGAACTCGACTCAAACCCGAGAATGACCCTACCTGATTCTAACCCGTAAATTATTGACT